GACCAGTGGCTGTTGTAATAGAACTTTAGAACATCTATCGAAGTTGGGTGTTTTGTTTTCTTCGTCAAAGTTGAAACGCATTGATTATTGCCACTGCGGCAAAGTTGGCCTGCAAGGCTTGGTTGTATTGATCCGCTTTCGTCTGTAGATTAGAATCGTTCAGCCCGACTGAGCGCATCTTTGCCGTGATTATTCCGCCGACGGAGAAGCCGATTCCTGCAGGATAGCCATAGGCTTAGAAGATGTAGGATATCTGTGGTCTGTGTCAGATAAAGGAAAACACCCTGGAAACCTCAAGGTCTACTGTCGGTATGCAGCGACTATTCTACGTTCATTTACGCTGTTGTTTGCCGTTTGCATTAGTATGTTGACTTCCTTAATCTGCGTTGATCACCCGAGCCGGAAAATCAAAACTTCAATATGTATATATCGTTCTTTCGGTTGTGCCATGTTTCCTCTTGCTTATCGTACGTCGTAAGGTGCAAGATGGTTCAAGAACGATTGTTGTCGGTGAAGTTGAACAGCGAACCATCGGAACTGCGACTATAATGCTTTTGCTACAAAGATTGATATTTAAAATGGTTATGGCGATCTTGCTTGTTTCTGAAGCTAGAGGTCGTGTAACGAATTTTGACTTTCGTCATTGATGTCTGGTATGTGATGTTTCACGCTACGTTTTTGATTTATTGAGGTCCTTTTCGAATTTTGGACCTCAGCTGTAACCCTCAGTAGATATTGTGTTTATATTACGAGTACGTAGTGATCTGGTTTTCTGCAACATATGAACAAATGGAAGAGATTGCAACATATGTTTCGAGCATTGAACTTTTCTTTCTAGTTCTGAACCGTTTTTTAGCAACTTGCTTAAACAATGATGTCGTAGTATCAATTAAGTCACCTAGCAAATGTCGTAAGCCGCAAAATGACTGTGACTCTTTCACTTACAGGTTAAAATACATGGTTTCATCAGTTCAATTAATCTGTCTTCATCAGTTTGCCCACACCGACTTTAGCGAACTTCAGAAACTAACCGACTTAACCAAAGTACTCTCAAGAGTAGAAAAGTTTTGGTTTGATCGTTACCCTTCAGCCACTATAACTTAGTGAAACCTACTATGAGTAAGTTTAGATGTTCCAGTCAGCAATGATTCCGGAGTGACTGAAATAGTTGTTGTCGCCGTATCAGTTTGTCTTTCTAAAGGATAGTCGAATTCATCTACGCCCCTTCCTTTCTCTTTGTTCATGAAGTACATTGATATTAGATATCAATACTTGGTACTACGAATTTCGGAACAAAACTGTCGGTGATACCTTCATCTTAGAAGAGCTGCTTCTTTGGATCATTAAATTTTGATGGTAATGACAAGTGATCAGGATGGCGTAGGAGTACGTACTAGTACGAATTTTGTTTGCAAATCCGCACAGGAGACCTCAGAGCGTAGACCGAGGACGATAGTTAGTTCGACAGTTCGAGTATGTTGAGTACCTGGCACCCCTGAAAGTTTTCCTTATTGACATGGGGCAGGCACCATTCGACAAAACTCCTGAAACAGCTGCATTCGCAACTGGAAAGTAATGGCAGCTGTGAAAATGAATGTTTGATTTGTGATTACTATGTGGTGGGCCGT